AAGTTTGGCCAAGTATTGTGAGCTAGTTTTGTCCTCAATCAGGATTGACGCGAAGACATCTGAGAAAAAGTTGTCCGGCTTAGTCTGTCTGAAACAGCAGTTCTACTTAAATAACGCTATCACATGATCTTTGAGTGGAGGTGAATGTCCTACACGGTAAGAAGGAACTCTTTGTCTCCAGGTTTACTTGGGTACAGACAAACTGGTTCAGAAGTGATAACTTGTTCTTTCTCGTGTTCAAAAAAACTTCTGTCGTGAAGATGAGCTTCAGATCTTGGAGATGAGAATTCAGGAGATGATTGGTCAGCATGATTGCCAACAGGTGGGTCTCAATGGCCATCGACAGAAAACGGGATCTCGTTATAATCTGTAGAAAGTTGATCGATGGTTCGTCGAGTAAATATGGGATGCAGTACCGGACAGCAGCACTGTGAAAGACAACAGCATCCATCGTCCAAAATAAATGGAGCAGGGTCCCGCAGAATTCTTTCTACTTTCTTCGCTAAAGACAGGAAGTTCATGGTGTTCATGCAAAAGCACGAATCTTCTCATTCGAACAAATTGACAGAGCTAAACCAGTGATGGGGACAATTCCTGAACTGCAAAGCATCTCGAAGCTCCGTTAGTAATGTCAGGAAACATTCTTCTATATTGTCCTCCACCCAGAAACCAACTGGTACCTTTTCAAGAGTATTCAAGAATATGGTTTTGATGTGCTAAGAAGTAAGTTGAGGGAGCACGGGTTGAAGATGGTCTTTCAGGATAGTTTTGAGAGCGAAGAAACATTTTCTCGCTGTATCTGAGACAAGTTTAGAAAGCTCCACCTCTGCAAGGGAAAACGAGAATCGCCAGCTTGTTTTATTCTTGTCGCTTGGTGCTGGTTTGGCCACGAGATGGCAGCCAAGCGACATAATTCTCTCTACATCGGTTGCACCAGGCCAGTGCCTTAGACGAGAGGACCAATCACTCATTGGAGGCCACTCAGGGCAAGGGATACAAATGGTAAAGTCAGCCTCGAAACGAGGAGCAATACGAAGCTTCATAGCGGGTCCTCTGGAGCTAAAGCTGACCACGTGCACAGGGTCGAGTTCGTTTGTGTCATAACAGCATTTTCTTCTGGGTAGATTGTCCACGGGCATGAGTCGAACAGCACGATAGGCCTGTCGTACGTTAAGGGTTGAATTTACAACCTCGGCGCTAGGAGTTAAGACAAGCTGTGCATATCCCGTGAAGCCTTCCCTTCCACTGATAAATGGCTCAACGCGAACGTCACCTTGATCAGAAAAAGAAGCTTTTACTCCCGAACAGCAAAACATCACGTCAAGGTCGGCATATAATGAATCTAAGGGTTCCGATACGAAGCCTCCTACTTCTCGCGAGATTATTGGGATGCCAAATCTCTCAACGGTGCTTCCTACGAAAAAACAATACGTTGGCCTCCATCTTTCTTCTAGAGCATGCTGGACGTCTGATAGATAGGGTAAAGCGTTAGTTTTCACTTCTTGAAATTCTTGTTCTGTTGGAATTTCTTTGTCGACGCTCAGAAGTAGAACTCGAAGAGAAGAGGAAGTTCTTCCGGTGAATTTTACTCTTCTGTGGCCACACGATACTGGAA